CCGCCCCCCAGCCCCCCGCCAGCCCTCCTTCCCCCAGCCCCCCAATCTCCCCAGCCCCCCCCAATTCTCCCGTCCAGTGCTGCTTCCGATGGCCAGCTCTCCCCTCCTTCTCACCCCAGAATCCCCTGGCACCTGCACCTTTCCTTAGCCCTGCACCCTCCTGGTGCCTCCCCCTTCCCTTACTGCCCCTGCCCCCTTTTTCCCCTAATACCCACCCCTCACCACTCTGCCCCATCCCCTCCTGCCCCTCAGTGCCCACACACATGACTTGCTCCATCCCCACCTCTCTCATGCCCACCCTTTCTTTCAAGCCTTCTCCCAGCACCTCCTCCTCCAGCCACCAATGCCCTTCCCCTCTCCTCTCCCAGCATCACCCTGTCCCCCCTCCCACTGACACCTCCCCTCCTGCCCTTTTCCTCATTGTCTGCACTTGGCCCCCTGGCATTTGTGTCTCTCTCCTGCACGGTCCCTTGGTGCCTTCACCTCCCAAGCCCCTTCTCCTTCCACTCCTCCCCCTCCGCACAAGCCCACCGCCGCCACCTGCTCACCTCCGCCCAAGCCCATTCCCTACCTTCTGCCTTCCACATTGCGGGGCCGGAGGCCGCCAGAGCTAGTGTGGCTCCGCCACATGCCTCCGAAGACTTTTAAAATCCTGGGCCATGAGGTCACGACACGCCCGGGCATCCTCCCTGCCCACGTGCAACACCGCACATGGGTAGCAGCAGGCAGTGAGGAGGAGCCGCGCACGGCTGGGACGCTCTGGGGGCAGTGCGGGGTGGGAGGATGTGCGGGGGGCCGGCACAGGGGAACCCAGGCCCACGCCAGGCAGAGCCAGGGGAGAGACCCAGCTCCACATATCAGTGGAGCAGGGCCCCTGGCTCTGTAACTCGCTGGCACTTCCGGGTTCAGGGGCGTGTGGCCTGAATGGGGCTAAGGCCGGCTCTGCCGGCAGCCACCAGGCATGCTGAGGCCCGGTATTTTTCTCCCGCGGCCCATAGTTTGGGAAACGCTGCCCTAGGGCAACAGAGCTGGCTCCATGCCCCCATAAAGGAGCGCTGGTCAGATCACCTCATTGCAGCCTGCCAGCTTCCTTTACGAAACGCCCCCTTGCCACCCCAGCCAGACAGGCATGAGAAACAGCAGGGCCTGTGTCCCCTGTTCCTCCTAAACACCTGCAGTTCCCACTGCCCCTCCTCCAGACTCTGGGGCCACGGCAATTTGGAGCAGAAGGAGCTGGGCTCTGCCTGCTGCATGGGGATCCCTGGAGCTCCCAGACTCGGCATTTTGGGGTACACGGCCA